ATATCCAGCATGGTTAATACATAGAGAGAAACTGTGGAGAATCTTGAGCACAAGCAATATAGTGACAGGGCAAACTATTGGTGCTGGGTTCATTTTGCAACTGTGACACAGTTAGGTGATACATAGGAGTGCTTGTCATAGAATGGGATGGAAACTCTACTCATAACAGACAACACATGTAACATAACATGGCAGATGGCATTTTCCAAAAGAGTCACTCCAACATTTCCCATTGCATATGTTCTTGGACAGTGTGAACTTGCCTCTCCTTCATCAAGCATTGAACTCTCCACCTTTTTGAAATTCTGTTTGACCAATAGAATTTGACTATTCTTACCAAAAGAAAATGGCAGATGTATAGTGTACTCATTCTGGCCAGAGCTCTTCACCGCCCTAGCCACCTATTTCCTGCTTTTTGAAACAATGTGTGGAAAAAACTTCTGCCATTCTTGAAGCCCAAACCATTTGGAGAAGAAAGGAGTAATGTGAGAGAAGGAGCACTGGGGAACCTGACCATGAGTGAAGAATTCATCTCAGACACCAGCAGAGCTATCAGGTGACTCCGAGCCCTGAGTCATCTTTTGCAATAGCAAATTCCAAGTGGGAAATGACCACTAATGTCCAGTCAACCCACAGAACCAGAAAGAAATAACAAATCACAGCGTAGAGCCCTAGTTTTGAAGATGGTGTGTTACACCACAGTAGATCACTGGAACACATAATTTGGTTTTCAGTTTTCTCTAACACTGTTAGAAATTCTAAATTGGACAAAGGAAAATAAAGGCTAGCTTTCAAGTACTAAGTCATCTATGAACCTTGTGAAAAAAAGAATTCAAAGCCAAAAGCAATAAAAATAGAGCAATATCTTAAAATCTTTTTAATTACAAATATTTATTATCTATTAAAAATAAAAAGATAAAATAAATCATTATCTACTTAGGAGCTGGGGATTTAGCTCAGTGGTGCAGCACCAGCCTGGCAAGCATCAAAAAAAATCTGCTTAAACTGAATGGGTTAAAACAATTATAACATATCACCACAAATGAATTAATATGGAATGATGCCATAAAATAAATTAAATTGCAAAATAGTAAGTACAGTGATAATCCTATTTTTAGTGGGATATAGATTTATAAATTTAAGGAGAAAATTAAAAAACACACCTGTATCTGATAAGCTGGTTGACAATGAAAACTTTGCTTTTACTGTACTTAGTCATATTGATTTATTATTGCTACCATATATATCTTTAAGAAAAACACAGATCTGAAAAACATAGATGTTTATGAAGCACTTGATTTTTACCTGTCCTCCCGCGTCCTTGGGTCAGCCTTATCTTAGGCTGTCTTTAAAGTCATGAATCTCTACTTTTATTTCACTCTAGCTTTATACTATCATAGAATTCTGGAGTGTAAATCATGCCATTATTCTTAGGTATCACACTATTTGACATTTCATGTCTAAATTTCTTGACCAAGCAATTGAGTTCTCCACAGTTTTGTTCTAAACTATGAAAACATTTTCCCAGTTTCTTAAATATTTGATTTTCATTGAGTAAACTACACCCAACTGTGCCCTATTTGGTGTGCATCTGCGCCATTTATGATCTCTTCACCCGGTGGGTTTCTCCACTGCCCCTGAAGTCCACATCCCACTATCCTTTGTCTTCTCTATCAGAAGTGTATGGCACACAGGCACATTGTTCTGCACTTTGCATTTCTCATTTAATACATTTGCTGTTTTAACCATAAGTACTTATAGAGCATTTATCATAAGTCAAGAACTGTTGTAGGTATTGGAAAAATAGAAATAAAAATAAATAAACTAATGAGAACAAGAGAGAAAATAAATACACTATGTACTATGTTAGATGATAAGTTTTAAGTGTAAAATAATGGTGATTAAGAACTTGTCGCTCCCTGGGGACATAGCATTTTAGCCGGAGTGAAGAAGAGTAAAATCTGATTATACAATGTTGTGTCTGATGGGTTCTAGGAATTGCAGAAAACCTTGTAGTTGCAGCAACATAAGCAAGTGACCTATTAGTATTTCAAATATTTTTATTCATGATTGAATTTTAAGCTTAGAATTCCATAAAATTTATATGATTACCATGCATGGTTCATCTTAGCTTCCTCTACGTATCTCAAAATCTAATAAATAGCCAGTATTCAAGTGTAAATAAATGATAAATGGATATGGAATGGAATTAAAAAGTAAATGAATGAATGAATGAATGAATTATGCATAAGGCACATGATGTACACTAGGTCCATGACCAGTGCATCTGCTACATTCCAGCTCCAGCACGCTCTCCTACATGTCCAGACGGTCAGCGCCTTCAGTTCCTCAAGATTCTTACTCAAAACTCACTTTGTATTGAAACTCCTTTGGCCATCTTTTCTAAACTCAGCCAATTAACAAACATAAGTTACAAAAAACTGAGGCTGGCTTTTAAAATCATTCTTGTGCTCTACTTATGCTTCTGAAATGAGGAACGCCAGTATTGCTACACAATTTCAAGAAAGCTGGTGAAAGTCCCTGTAAAGCCTGACTGAGCACAAGCAAATCTCCAGCCTTCCACAGTGAAGACGGTGCAGTGTGCTTCGGCAGTTCTGAGGAGCAATAGAATATTCACTAGGGGAAGGTCTGTGTCCATTATACACTGACAAGCATGCTCCAGTTTTCTCAAGTACGGACCTGTCACCCCATAACATACACATGAGTCAGAGGTATGTTTTACTACAGCTGAGGAAGATCTCAGTTCAGAATTTCCCGTTTGTCTCTCACATGCCACGTGCACACATGGTCAGCCTTTTAAGTAAGATTCATATCCATTAACATAAAGTAGGGGCTGGGGATTTAGCTCAGCGGCAAAGCGCCTGCCTGGCAAGCGTAAGGTCGTGAGTTCGGTTCCTGGTACCGGAGAAAAACCAAAACCAAAAAAAAAAAAAAAAAAAAACATAAAGTAAACTACGTCCTATTCTAGATGAAACTGCAGAAAAGAGAGCACCTACGGTGTTTAAAAGCTACAGAGCTGATTGGCAAGGAATGTAAAATTCTTAAAGTCAATTCTAGTATGCTTGGGGTAGCTTCCCCACCATAAGCAGAATTTACTGAATCTAGCTTACTGTATCTTTGCTAAATCTGACTCTGGTTTTATCTTAATTGAAATGAATACTTCATGAAATAAAGAGCTTCTTTCTGAAAATTGCTTTCCATTTAACATGTGTTAAGGAAACTTGCTCCTTAAGCACATCTGATCCTGGCTCAGCACACTGAGACAGTCTATTCACCATCTCATTGCTCCAACATTGAAACTTTTAAGATCTTGCTTTACTAAACACACTCAAGGGCATCTTGTGTCATATTTCTCAAACCCTGTGAGTTTACCATCCAGTCCTCTCGTGTGCACATCTTGCTGTTGTTCTTACTGCTTCTCAGCTGGTCACAGAAGAGCGCTAAGAAAGCCACTCCTTTCTCTTCAGCACATCTGAAGCATGGCGTGTCATTTTTCAGCAGATGCTACAAAAGCATTCATTGATCTCTTAGGCATTTAATACACAGAACAAAGTCAAAACTGAGCTTGTAATTATGTATGTTTTTGTCTTTTTGAGACAGGGTTTTGTTATACAATTCAGGCTGACCTTGAGCTCACTTTGTAGCCCAAGCTGGTCTCAAATTTGCAATGATCCTCCTGACTCAGCCTCTCAAACGCTGGGATTACAGGCATGTGCCACCACACTCAACTTGTAATTGTGCATTTTTAAATCACTAGTTTACATAGCTTTACACAAGCTCTTCCATGTTACTACTCTAGAAAGAATATTTCCCAACTGCAAAAAATACTGCAGGAAAAATTCTGACCTAGAAACTTTAAGCAAAATACTTCTCTTTAAACTCTAATATTGGTGCACAACTCTAACCTTCTAAGTCTATTTTGTGACTGAAAATTGTTTCCAATATTTTCTATGCTGACAGTGACTACAAATATATAGTAAGAACTAAAATTATACATCTTTATTTGGTTTTTGTTCATTATAAGTACTTAGTCATCAAAGACTGAAACAATATCAATGTGAAAGAAAGTGTGTAAGTTAAAAGTGTGTAAGTTATCTGAAATGGTAAGGTAATTTTATTTGGAAAGAATGCTGAAATTATCAGAATTCTATGACTTTATGGAGAGATAACTTAACAATTTAAACAAAATAAAAATTTTTATGCTCCATGGATAAATAATCAAAATGTATAATAGAAAACATTAAAATTATTTTAGATTGTTATCTGTTTCTAAAAATTATTTCTCATCTTTTTATTCTTCAAACTTTAAAAGTTTCAGAAACAAAATTAATTTATAAAATACAATTACTTAATTGCCAAAATTATTTCAGTGAGTAGAAATAATATTCAATCCTGTAGAAGTCACCATAAAATTTCTCCAAATAGATCTAGTCATAGAATGTAGAATATATTTCATGCTTCTATAATACATCATTAAAATTTGGATTACTAAATGAAATACAACTAAGTAAACTAAAGACAAACATTCTATGTTTAATTTCTTCAAAATCAGATGAGTACATTTTCACAATGCCAGGTACAAGGGTGCATACACGAGGGTGTTCAGGACGAGCAAACTTATTTAGATATCTGAAATGTAAACCTGATTCCGGTGAATTGTTCCATGGTTCATCAGCCAGAATTTTTTAATAAGTCCCTCATTTACCCAGGGTTTAAGAAACTTAGCAACTTTCTGTTCTCTTCATTCATTTAATGAATTTTTTTCCCCATGTGTTTTTGAAGTTGGGGATTGAACCCAAATTCACGTTTACAACTGAGCTACACCTACAGGCCTTTAAGCCAATATTCTTCCACCGCCCAGTGTCAGTCACTGTGCCAGTCCTGAAAGCACAGCAGTCACCAAGCTGGGAAATATGGCTGCCACAGAGTTTGCATTCTAGTGAGGAAAGCAGGCAATGAGGGGGCAAACCAACACTTACCCGTGCAAAGCAGTAGAGGCTATGAAGAGAGCAAACAGTGCCTGAGATACGCCTGGGGCACTCATGATGCTGCAGGTCCAGTGTCCATAGAAAGCCACATTACAGTGAAGTCTGAATAATGTGACAGTCAGGGAAAGCAATAAGCAACATTCAGCCTTGGCTATAAAGTGTTCAGATGGGCATCGGCCATGAACTCCTTCTGTAAATAACAAAAACTTGACAAAATCATGTGAAGCAACTGTGTTCAGTCACAGCACACGGACGGTGCCTGGGGCTGACCCTCCAAGGCAGGAAAAGTTTACTTTGTGCTTCATATTTATCTCAGATGTCTGCATGGGAACACTTTCAAAATTAAAGCACAGAAAAGGTAAGCACCCTGCAAGAAAGAGAGCCCTAAGCTCTGTAAGATCTCCTGCAAAAGACGACTACAGAGACAAAGAAAGAATTCAAACTCCAGGTCTGCTGAGCAGTCTGCAATCTGTCCTACAGGAAGTGGAAGAGAAATGCCTCAGAAATCCAGAGAAGAGCTGTCCCAAGGCCATGAAGAGATTAAGTTACCTGAGCACACATAGGCAACATTCCACAGGCCTGGCACAGAACAGCTCCTGTTGAAAAGAGATTCCAGAAAAGACATACTTTAGGAGCAGATCTCCTATAACCTGAGAGGCAGCACTACTCTAACTGCCCTAAAAAAATCTCAGCTCAGTCTTAAGAAGTTGAAATCTATGCCTCTAACCAATGTGCTGCTTTCCGGAAGATCCGGCACTGTTATATGAGTGTAACATGATGAAGATTCTAAACACCAGCACTCACAGCACATGGAATACAACACTGATTTCAATTATTATGAGTAACACGCACTGAAAATGTACATAAAAATGAAGAGAAAACGTCAGCCAATACAAAAATTCTAGTGATGATACCATCATTAAAAACAGCAGATAATATGGCCAGGTGTGGTGGTGCATGCCTGTAATCCCAGCACTCGGGAGGCTGAGGCTGAGGCAGAAGGATCTCTGGGAGGCCAGCCTGGGCTACATAGTGAGTTCAGGAGTTCAGGAGTAGTCTGAACTATGTAGTGAGAGCCTGTCTCAAAGAATGAAAAAGAGGAGGAGGAAAGGAAGGGAAAGAGTAGGAGAAAAAAAAAAAAAGAAAGAAAGAAAAATAAAAGAAAGAAAGAAAAATAAAAAGAAAGAAAGAAAGAAAGAGAGAGAGAGAAAGAAAGAAAGAAAGAAAGAAAGAAAGAAAGAAAGAAAGAAAGAAAAGAAAAGAAAAGAAAAGAAAAGAAAAGAAAAAAGAAAGGAAAGGAAAGGAAAGGAAAGGAAAGGAAAGGAAAGGAAAGGAAAGGAAAGGAAAGGAAAGGAAAGGAAAGAAGAAAAAGAGCAGATAAGGACATTTAAAAAAACTATTATGCACCTGTTCAAGGGCATAATTGAAAATAATGGGCATGTTAAGTAAAGAGATAAGGGATTTCAACAAAGAACTAAAAATTATATTTTTAAAAATAAAAATTCTAAAACTCAAAATTTAAAACATTTAAAGTAAAAATTTATTAAGCATGGAGATAAGATAGTGAGAAAGCATGGGAAAAGCTTAAAGCAAAATTAATAATAAAATTGAAGCACAGAAAGGAAATTATTCCTAAAAACATCAACACAGTCTCTGTGACATAAAGAACAGTCACATAGTCTAACATATATACAAGTAAAGGTAGGGAAATTTTGAAGAAATAATGAGCAAAGTATTCTACAGTATGATTTTAAAATACTAGTCCATTGTCACAAAGAGACCAATAAATCCAAAACAAATAAATACAAAGAATACCACCTGGAAAAGATGCTGAACACATTTTTTAAGTTTTCCCATACAATTTTGTTTTACCCTGTTGCTTATTTGATGCATATTGGACATTTGCTAATGCAATTCATTTTTTTCTATTACAAGTTTGTATAGTTTTTTAAACAATACATATTTTTTCTTTCACTTGATGTTTCATAAACATAGGGAAAGAGATAATTGCTTTTTTTATTAATTAAGTTCATTGGTACATTTTAAATACACATAAGGATCACTTTCTTCATAGGGACTTTGGACCTGTACATGACTTCTCTCCATTCTCTTTTCCTTGTCCGTTCCGTTACCCTCCCTACTTCCATCCCCTCAGCGGTACATTTTTTGTATATTACACAGGCAGTTCCTGACTTATGATGGTTTGACTAACAATGTTTTTACTTTGTGATGGTAGGATCAGCAAGCCACAGGCCCCAGTCAGCCATAGGATCGTGACTGTGAACTACAGATTCTCTACAGAATACTGGGTCCCTTGGTTATGGTGGAGGTGAGGTACCTGTATTAAATGTATTTTCAATTCTGATGGGTTTAGTGAGACATAACCCCACGATAAACAGAGGAGCATCCATATTACTCTAAATAACATTAGTATCTTAGCATAAGGTTTGCTGGGGAGGCTGGAATAGTCTATTTTTGACACCAGGAATCTGACCCAGGTCTTCATGCTTGCTAAGAAGGTGCTGCGCTGCTGAGCTATATCTCTGGCCCCTGGAATAGTTTTTAGGGCTGAAAACTCCTACTTCTACATAAAAGTATAGAAGGATTTTTGTTATTATTATTATTATTACTATTATTGTCCTCTAGAAGATTCTACTACCACTTGATGTCCCATGGGGTTCTAAAAATGACTCCCCCCATTCCTTTCCAGTGTTTTTTTTTTTTTCCCTCTATGACCATGTGAAAAGACGCTAGGGCTTTGTGGATGTGCAGGTTTTTCATTTCATGCTCTTCCAGACAAATGACAGTTGGTTTAACCTCTCTGTTCTCTCTCTCCTCGGTTCGATGAGATCACAGGGCTCAAAATGCTTTCTACCTTCTTACAGTACAACTTGTGCAAAGATGCTGCAGGCAGAGGGCTCATCATGCTGCTTCCCCTGCTCCACGGATCACAGTACCATGCTAAGCCGTTCCACATTTGTTGAATATCTGAAAGGCGCTGCTGCTTAGTGTTTCCTCATCTAAATCAGGAGAGTAAGCTCCGTGGAGAGCCAGTTGTTAATCACGTATAAGCACACCACGGGACTGCTGTTATTTACAGAAGAAAGGTCGTCTACATAGAAAATCCCAAACTATCCACGTGAAAGCTGCTAGAAATAATGAGTCCAGCAAACACGCATAATACAGGACCAAAGTAGAAATTCAGTTGTATTTCTATATATTTCAATGAAAAATGGAAATCATAGAAACATTTTTACTTATAGTAAGTAAATCAAAAGTATGAAATATATACAAATCTGAAACTATTGAAACATTGATAAGACAATGAAAAAAGAAGAAAATATATAGATATATGCTATATTCATGGATTACAGGATTCAATATTTATAAAAGTCAATTGTTTCTAATTAACCAAAACTCAGAAGACATAGATAAGAAAACAAAACACAGACACAAGCCATAGATTGAGATTAAATAATAAACAACATATTTTTAACAAAGGGTTTAGACCCACTACTTTGTTGAATTCCTTTGTTATATCTTTTGTTGGAATTGTTGAAGTCTTTCAAGTACAAGATCATACTGTCTGCCAGTAGACATAACTTAAATTTTTCCTTTCCTATCAGTAGCAGTTGTTTCTCTTGCCAGTTGCTCTAGCTAAAATTTCAAGTACTGTGTTGAGAAGGAGTCGTCAGAGTGGATTTCTTTGTTTTATCCCCGACTTCTGATAAAATACTTTCAGTATGATTTTAGAAAAACATTTTTGCACTAGAGTTGAGTCACAGTAGTTGCACAGCATCACTGATAGATTGAAGGTCACTGAATCACGCACTTTAAAATGGTTAAATGTGTCTTCTAAGTATTTTAGCTCAAGTTTTAAGAAACAACCAGAAATCATCTCTACTAGTACTACCACATTATCAAATAAAGATAAATATCATTTAAATACTAATGGAGTTATCCACACTGTCAGGCTACTGAGAACTGAAGCTCTAACCCTGGGACATCTCAGTGGCAGTCTTTTCTACTGACTAAGGTCCTGTCACCTAGAGAGGCTTTTTATGAACTACAGATCAACTAACAAGTAATGCTGTCATTCAAAAGGTCTGCACACAAATTTGAAGATTTTAATGTAATCTAAGCAAGTATAAAATTTTTATCTGTAAATAATTACTTTTAAGTGTAGGGGATGTCTTACCAGTTTAGAAGAGGTTTGATTTTTTTAATATTTTAATCAATACATAATAGTTGCATAATGTGATGTTTCTATGCATGTATACATCTTGAAAATGATCAAACCATGGTTAGTAGTATATCCATCATGACCTTTATCTATCACTTCTTTGTAGTGAGAGCATTAGTAAACCACACTTTTAGCTATTTGGGAACACATAATGCATTATTGTTTACTATCATCACACTTGTGTACAATAGAACACCAGCACCTTTTTCTTTTCTTTATAACTTTGTACCTGTTATCCAATATGCTCCCAGCATTCTCTTCCTCCTGCCTTCTCTAGCCTCTGATAGCCACATTATTCTCTAATTCTATGAGGAGATGTATGTGCTACGTAGTACTTGCCCTTCTTTGTCTAGCTTATTACATATCACAGAAGATACTTCAAGTTCATTCATGATGTCACTAATAACAAGACTTCATCCCTTTGATGGCACAGTAGTATTCTATTTATATATCACATTTTCTTTATCCATTCTTCTGTTGTTGGACATTTAAGATATTTCCATTTTTTGGTTATTATGAATAGTGATACAATAAGCACCAGAATGTAGATATCTTGTCAACACACTGACTTCATTTTCATTTGTCTACATGATGAGTAGTGAGGTTGCTGGTGGAGGGGCTTTCTCACGTAGCATTTGTTTGATAATCACTTTTGATATTTAATATATTTTTATTTTCCTCACTGCTATTTGACCTTTAAGAACCTTTAGATTAACCAATGAAGTGAGAGCTTTCTTACATTGTTAATATTCCTATACCAGACCTTCCAGAGGTAGGTAAATTCTTTTAACATACCTATGAGTCTTAACATCCCATCTGGTATGTAATCTTAGGTCACTGGGTATGTTTCTTTATTAAATTTAAAATAAATTATAATGCTACAGTTGTCCACTAAAATCATTTTCTGTATTTTTTTAATTTTCTCTTCCACTATTTTAACAAATTCTCACCTAACATGGAGAACTTTCAGAAGATAGGATGAACTTTTAGATTTCCATTAATGCTATACACAGTACTACGCACCTAACAGCCTCTTAATAAAAATAATTAATGATTAAATGATGACAGAATTGCTCCATGAGCAATGAAAATTGAGTTCAGGTTACACATCAAATGCTCAGATCTTTCAAATTCATGGTTATGATTCCACAGGTTTTATCAAATAAAATGTTCAGAGAACTGTCAAAAATTCGATGAGAATAAAACTACAAATACAGATA